TAGAGCTCTGATTTTTAGGCTCTCATTAGAAAGCTCTTCCATCTACTCAATCTCATTTCTCGGGACATTTTCCAATTCTGGTATGTCTTTCTTAAGATGTGGGGAGCCAAAACTTCACAGCACATCTTGCTGTGGACACGGAGTGGTTCTGAATAAGGGTGGGATCACGAGTCTTATTTTGTTTCCACTGTCCTTTCTGATACAGTCCAGTATTTTCTGGGCTTTCTGTGATGAGACATGCAACACGGTATCTTAAGAGAACAGTCTAAACTGATGCTTCTTTATTGAACAGTTTAGCTCAGAACCCATTATTCTAAAAGTGTAATTGGAATTGCTTTTCCCTAAGTGTTCCTTCATGTTTGCCTTCACTGAGGCTTCTTTGCCATAATTTTGCCTATTCATACAGCCTCCTGAGAACTTGTCTTTTAATTTTGCATTTTGATTTCTGGAACAGCTTTTAGGCATTTGCAATCTTGAAGGTTTCATTTTATTGCTTCAACAAATATTTATTGAGTGCCTAATGGAAAATGCAGTGGTGAACAAGAGAGATAAACCTCTTCCCTTGTGAATCTAACAACCTAATGTATTTTCTGCTAGATTATTGTTTCCCAAAGCATTTTAAATATGATACCTCCTTTTCAAATTAATTTTTTCAGGGACTTTTATTCAGTAGCGGGTTGTTTCTTTGTTTTTTAATTTTTTTCCTAGCTAATTTTTGGCTGTGCTGGGTCTTTGTTGCCGTGCAGGTTTTCTCTAGTTGTGGTGAGTGGGGGCTACTCTCTAGTTGCAGTGGCTCCTCTTGTTCCAGAGCACAGGCTCTAGGCGCGTGGCCTTCTGTAGTTGCCGCACATGGGCTCAGTGGTTGTGGCTCCTGGATCCTGGAGCTCGGGCTCAGCAGTGGTGGTGTACAGGCTTAGTTGCCCTGCAGCTTGTGGACTCTTCTGGACCAGGGGTCAAACCTGATTCTTATCTACTGCACCACCAGGGAAGTCCCAGTAGTGGTGTTTTTAACGGCTGGTCACTGGAAGCACATTTGTGGATATGAAGTTGGGTGCCCTATGGGTTGGAAACTACCATTCTAGGCAGTTTATGAAAGCATCACGTTCTAGTCCAGAACTGGTAAGTGGTTTAAAAAAAAAATGCTGTTGTTCATGATTTCCCATAAGCAACAATCAGATAAAGACAGACATACACATAGTTTGTTGGTTTTTCTGGTAGAATTTTGACATTAGAAATTCTGCCTACTAGTTTTGCTGTAATTATATTGTTTTTATCCTTTCAAAGAATTCTACTAGGTTAATCAGGCCTGGTGAGGTCCCTTTCAAATCAAGGTGTTCCCTCCCTCTCATCTAGTTGATGTTTACTTAACAGTTTGGCAGAATGTCCTGGGCAGCAGGTAGACCCTGTAAGGAAACTGGGAATTTATTTTCACTCTATTTATTTATTTTTTTAGTTTCCAGATCTTCCCTGAATAGAAAGTTATCCTGAGAGGATACAGTGTCAGTCTGCCAGTTCTGAAGTTGTTCTTCACTCTCAAGGGACTTGTATGCATCATAGCACATTTCTACCATCTCACCTCGCAGGGAGATTGGCTCTCAGCCTAGGCTCAGGAGTCCCAGGGAACCTGCCTTGCCTGCTGATTGGCCGCTCTAGATCACTGGGCTAGCTCACCAGGCCTGCATCTGGCTTGTTCAGACGCTTTAGGGTGAGCCCTACTGAATGCTCTGCGGGGTGGGCTGTGGGTCCTAGGCTGGTATTTGTGGCCCTGGGGCAGGGGCCGTCACCCTGGGTCCTGAGGCCTGCCCCCAGGTAAGGCAGGCAGGCAGGCAGGCAGGCAGGCAGGCAGGCAGGCAGGCAGGCAAGCAGGCAAGGCAGGCAGGCAGGCAGGCAGGCAGGCAAGGCAGGCAGGCAGGCAGGCAAGGCAGGCGGGCAGGCGGGCAGGCAAGTGGGCAGGCAGGCAGCCTTTTGTGGTCTGCTCTTTCCAACTTCGGCTGCTTGCAAGTTTGCAGACATTGGTGTGTGCTGACACTGTTTTGACTACACCTTTAATCTTAGTTGGGCTTCCCTGGTGGCTCAGAGGTTAAAGTGCCTGCCTGCAATGAGGGAGACCTGGGTTCGATCCCTGGGTCGGGAAGATTCCCTGGAGAAGGAAATGGCAACCCACTCCAGTATTCTTGCCTGGAGAATCCCATGGACAGAGGAGCCTGGTGGGCTACAGTCCATGGGGTTGTAAAGAGTCAGACACGACTGAGTGACTTCACTTTCACTTTTTCACTTTTTTTAATCTTAGTTAAGTTACTTAACCAATTTTCTAGCTGGCAGTCCCTTGCTGAGTCATGCTAGATATACTTTAAGAGTTTTATAGTAATGATTTTTGGAGCCCTCTGTAAGAAATTCCTCAAATTTTTTTGCCTGCCTAATTTTTTCTTCTTTTCATATGTTAAAAATATAATGTAATACAATTACTTAAGTAATAAAATTTGAAATAAATAGTTTGAATAAATAATTTTAAAATGTAGATAAAAATGAAAGAAAATTTCATTTGTTGAGATATTTTTAACATTTTAGACTATTCCTCTCCCCTTTTCCATAAAAGCTATATTAAAGTTTTTTGGTTTGTTTGTTTTTTTCTGTGTTTTTGTTTTTGTTTTTTGGTTTGTTTTAAATAGAGACCCACTATACCATTTCTTAGCTCTGATTTTCCTAGCAAAAGATAGCTTTTGCTTTGACCTCTGGCCATTCTCAGCCCACTCCTGCGGTTTCTCTGTGTGGAGAACAGGGCTTCCACATAGAGTCTCTGTGGCTCAGAGGTAAAGCTGGTGGGCTCCTCACTAATCCTTGAACCACCCCACCAACTGCCGCCACTCCTCTCCCACATGCTTTTCCCAGCCCCTTGAAAAGACCAGTCTGTTCAACCCTTCTCCCTCAACCATTTTTTCCTAGACAGAAGAGGAGCCCCGGGGAGTTGAAGGGAAAGCAAATACCACACGGGTGTTTCCTTCCGTTCGGCATTGGCCTGCATAGTAGCTCACTTGGTACCGGGAGCCGGTGCTCCCATCATACCCAGTGTCTTCCCCTCTCTTGTGGGCTCCAGCACTTTGGTCCCACGAGACAATCACTTGTTATCCAGAAACTTTTACATCTCTTTTCAGTGATTCTGCCAGCTCATATTCTGTTAAGATAATTGGGGTTTCACTTTGTTATTATCTGCCATGATTAGACATCTTCCCAATTGGGGGGAGTCTGTTTCGTGTTCTGTGAGAACTCTTTAAGAAGGCAGGTGTGTTTTGTTGGGGCTTGGTGGGGTGGGACAAGAAACCAAGCCTGCAAGCCTGTTGATCCCATGGGGTGGCAATAGATATACCTATGCTGACTGGTCCCCTGTGATTCTGTTTGTTTTTTGTTTTTTTTTTCCTGTATGTTTTCCCTTTTTTTAATTATAAAAGGAGTCTACTAGCACATACAAAAAAAGTTGTGAAAAAATAAACCACCAGTAATCCCACTACCCTGCACAAATCACTTTTTCCTTTCAATCTTGGCTCAAATGCATGCTCAGTTTTACATTGTTATAGTTTGACAATGTTTTTGTGTTTATCTTTTCTTAACACTGTAAGTGATTTTCCATGTTGCTACCTAGGTTTCATAATTGGAGTCTTTAACGACTACATAATAGTCTATTAACCATTTCTTGTCCATGGACATTTAGATTTCTTTGTGTGTCTGTGTGTGTTTCCTTTTGGTGGTGTTTTAATAATACCATACACTTTTGCATATAACTTGTGGGTGAATTTTTGTTCTTAGAACAAATTTCTGGCATTGGGGTTCCTGGGCCCAGGGATTCGCCCCTTATCTGGTTCTGTGCAGCCACTGTTCTGCTTTATGAAAGAGCTGTGTCGGTCAGCGTTCACAAAGGCTTTCAGTACCAACGTGCTGTAGGAGACACTTAAGCATGTCAGGCTCTGGGATGCCACAGCAGATGCAGGATTTATGGGCTGAACCAGGGAGATGGTGGAGTTTCTCTTCCTCTTCTCAGCAGGTTTGAACCAGCCAGCTCCACATCTCAACTAAACGTGAGTGCCTTAGTAATTTCTTAATGGAAGGCCTCAGGTTTCCTCCTTTGCAATAGTTTTGTAGCTTTGCTTCTCCAAAGCATGAAGAAATCAGGTAGATTTTCTTTTCTTTGTGTATTAAAGTAAAATTGAGGGCTTTAAAACTGTTCCCTGGTCAGCTTGATAACTGTGTGCTTCTTTGAGAGTCACCCAGTCCCTCAGGTTTAGTGATCCACTCACCAACCAGTAATGAATTTGGGGTGAAAATTAAGGAATCGAGCAAACACTGACTAGAGGAAAAAAAAAAACAAAAAACTTGGGGATGATATAACTTGCTAGAGTTTATTGATGCGATAGCTTAAATCCTGGCAAGAGTAAATCATTTTGAATTTGATTGAATTCATGCAGCAAAAAACCAAGTTATACAAAGTTAATGATCAATTACTAAGAGTAAATTAGCAGAAATTATAGCCAAGTCTCATATATGAACCAGAAGTTTTCTAAAGAACAGAGGTACTGCTGCTGAGCCAGGTTGTTGTTGTTGTTTTTTTTAAGGACTGAGTGGTTTTTTGCTTATGTTTATGATTGTGGAATGATGATATTCCCCGAGAAATTGAGGAAGTATCATGTGAATGCACCCTCTTTTCGGTTATGTAGCCAGCCAGGAATTTCCCAGTTTGATGTTTAGAGCCCACTAGGCAGGCATGTCACGATGTACTAACTTTTCTCTCCACTCCCCTGCCCAGCATCTCCAGCATTTTGGAAACCTACTGGGGTAGAACTCGGGGGTGTGGCTTTCCACAGTGCGTGGGTTGGTGTGTAGGTGTGCTGGCTGCATGCGTGTTAGTGAGTGGGTTATGTAATGAAGATGATGCTGGATTGAGCCTGGTGGGATCCGGCCATCACTGATACTGTTTCTGTTTCTGTTCTAGGCCTTGCCTGCATCCAGCCATGGGGGATATGAAGACTCCAGACTTTGACGACCTTCTGGCTGCCTTTGACATCCCAGACCCCACTAGCCTTGATGCCAAGGAGGCCATCCAGACCCCCAGTGAGGAGAATGAAAGCCCCCTCAAACCCCCAGGGTTGTGTGTGGATGAGAACGTGTCCTTGTCTCACTCAGGCTCAGCCTCGGATGTGCCGGCTGTGAGTGTCATCGTCAAGAATACCAGCCGCCAGGAGTCGTTTGAGGCGGAGAAAGACCACATCGCCCCCAGCCTCCTGCACAATGGGTTCCGGGGCTCCGACCTGCCTGCAGACCCCCACAGTCTAGGCCACAACTGTGGGAAGTTTGACTCCACGTTCATGAATGGAGATAGTACCAGGGGTTTCCCCGGCAAGCTGGAGGCCTCCAAGTCAGAGCCGTTACCAACTTTTAACCAGTTTAGTCCTATCTCCAGCCCAGAGCCCGAGGATGCCATCAAAGACAATGGGTTTGGGATGAAGCCCAAGCACTCTGACAGTTACTTCCCGCCCCCTCCTGGGTGTGGGTCTGTGGGGGGCCCTGTCCTGGAGGCTCTCACAAAGTTTCCGGTCCCAGAGCTGCATATGTTTGATCACTTTTGTAAGAAAGAACCCAAGCCTGAGCCCCTGCCCCTTGGCAGTCCGCACGAGCACGAGCGAGGTGGGCAGAAAGCATTGGAGGTGCACAAGGAACTAGATGCCAGTCGATTCTTCGGGGACGCCCTGGACTTCAGTAGCCATCCCGGCAACAGTGTTGGAGAGCCCAAGGGGCTGGCCTCAGAGCTCGGCGCCGGCTCGGCAGTCCCCCCCAGGCAGCGCCTCAAGCCAGCTCATTCCAAGCTGTCCTCCTGTGTTGCGGCCTTGGTGGCCCTGCAGGCTAAACGAGTGGCCAGTGTCGCCAAGGAGGATCAGCCCAGCCACGCGAAGGATCCCTCAGGGCCCGCGAAGGAGGGCTCCAAAGGCAGCCCCAAGATGCCCAAGTCACCGAAGAGTCCCCGGAGCCCCCTGGAGGCCACCCGAAAGGGCATCAAGCCCTCTGACAGCCCTCGGAGCATCTGTAGTGACAGCAGCAGCAAGGGCTCCCCCTCCGTGGCTGCCAGCTCCCCACCAGCAATCCCCAAAGTCAGGATCAAAACCATTAAGACGTCTTCAGGGGAAATCAAGCGGACGGTCACGAGGATCCTGCCAGACCCTGACGACCCCAGTAAGTCCCCTGTTGGTTCACCATTAGGAAGCGCCACCGCCGAGGCCCCAAGCGAGGCACCGGAGGACGAGGCCACCACCCTGTCCGGAGTGGAGCACTTTGCTGAGGTGGACACACATCCCGGGAGCCCCCAGAGTGACCAGAAAGGGGAGGAGTGCACGGCGAAAGCCAGCGAGCCTTCGCCTTCCTGCTGCAGCTCTGGGGCCCGGGGTCCAAAGGGGGCTGCCTTGGGCACGCAGGCGGGCAGAAAGCCGCAGCAGAGCCCGGCGCCGCCAGCCTCCACCCCCGCCCCTGCCAACCTCCTACCCAAGGCCGTGCACCTGGCCAACCTGAACCTGGTCCCCCACAGTGTGGCAGCATCAGTGACGGCCAAGTCCTCCGCGCAGAGGCGGAGTCAGCCTCAGCCCACGCAGATGTCAGTGCCCCTGGTCCACCAGGTGAAGAAGGCCGCCCCGCTGGTCGTGGAGGTCTTCAACAAGGTCCTCCACAGCTCCAACCCCGTGCCCCTCTATGCGCCCAACCTCAGCCCGCCTGTGGATAGCAGGATCCACGTGCCAGCCAGTGGCTACTGCTGCCTGGAGTGCGGGGACGCGTTCGCCTTAGAGAAGAGCCTGAGCCAGCACTATGGCCGGCGGAGCGTCCACATCGAGGTGCTGTGCACGCTGTGCTCCCAGACGCTGCTCTTCTTCAACAAGTGCAGCCTACTCCGGCATGCCCGTGACCACAAGAGCAAGGGGCTCGTCATGCAGTGCTCTCAGCTGCTTGTGAAACCCATTTCTGCGGACCAGATGTTCGTGTCCACCTCTGGGAACTCCACGGCGCCAGCCGCTGCGGCGTCTCCCTCCCCCTCCCAGCCCGGCCCGGCTTCCAGCAATGCCAACACCCCACTCCCCGCCTTGCCACTCTACCCGGACCCCGTGAGGCTCATCCGGCACAGTATCAAGTGCCTGGAGTGTCACAAGCAGATGCGTGACTACATGGCGATGGCCGCACACTTCCAGAGGACAACTGAGGAGACCGAGGGGCTGGTGAGCAGGACCATCTCCCATCTCTGGGGCGGTTGTCAGGCCCCGGGTTCACACAGTCCCGTACCTGGGCTCGTTGATCTAGGGCAGTGGGGACATTGGAAGAGCCCTGGGAGAGGAACCTGCTTTGCTGGCTAGCCACCCACCCGGATGTGTAGTGCTTGGGATTTCCTGAGAAAGCGTCCTGCCCGCAGTTGAGGGGAGGCCCTGATGGTCTAAGGTGTGTATCTGTGGACGCTCCGCTCCCACTCCAGTGGCTGAGGGCCTGTTGCCCGGCTAGGGCTACATCTCTGGCTGCTGTCAGTGTCGCCCTTGCATGTGCCCAGAGAACTCGGGGGCAGGGGTAGGTGCGTCCCTGCCCAGTGCCTCAGGCTGTGTGTCTGAGAACTATCTCTTCACCAGGTTGTCGTGCCCGTAGTCTACAGAGCTGGTTTCTGCAGAATCCCTTTGGGGAAGCCCTAGCAGGGCCAGTAGGAGGATGGATGTGGAAGGAAGGAGAGTGGACTGCCATGTGGGCCCCAGGCAAAGGCTTTGGGGCCTCCTCCTCTCATCTCTGTCCTTACCACTGAGAAAGCCTCTGCCCTTATCTCTCGTCCGATTCCTGGTTATGCTTGATGAGATCCTGATGAGTGTGTGTGTTTAAGCCTGATGTGTGTGTGCACATGATGAGATCCTAGTGAGTGTGTGTGTGTGTGTCTTTAGGCACTCCATGCTGAAGTACCCTTTGGCACCCTGTGTGTCACTCGTGTCCATATCAACAAGGTCGTCTGCAGAAGCAGGCCTCCCAAAGGCTCTCATCTTCCTTCTCCAAGTGTCTCTCTTCGTGGCTTAGCCATGCCCACCCCCTTACCAAGCTTCCTTAAGCCAGGGCCACAGTGGACCGTGCACCTGTTGGTGCCTTGATGAGCTCTACATTTGTCTTCTGAGTGGCCCCTGTGTGCACGGAGGCTCTGTGTTGAGAGCAGCGATGCCCGTGCGAGGAAGACCACAGCTCCTTCAAGAGCTCAGGATGGCTCAGCAAGGGCAGGGCTCCCCACCCAGACCGCTGGAGTGTGGAGCAGGCTAAGACTGGGGTTAAAACACGCTGGTGAGCAGTTGTATAGAGTTCCTTGGAGGGACTGACTCATCATGGTTCCAGGTGTAGGGAAGGTGCCTGTGCTGTGGACGTGACGTTTGAGTTGGCTCTGCAAGGGTGAGCTTGGGGGCGCGGGGACAGGTATGGAAAGTGTAGAGTGGCCAGAGGAACAGGGTGTGGTTAGGAATGAGGGGGTCCAGCCTTGGGGGTCCTGGGCTAGAGGCCAGAGGTGGAGTTCAGTGGGCAGCCCCCAGGAGGGGCCCGCTTGGGGCCACAAGGCTGTTGCCACTCATCTTTACCTTCTCAGTTTCATTTTGCATTTCTTCCTGATTAGTCAGGTGGCATGTGGGCCCCCCAAGCCATTTCCTCTGGGGCTGTACCAGCATGGTTGCCTTGGACAGGAGTGGGTCTTCTGGGTCCTGTGGTCAGAACCTTTGCCAGTGGAGATCTGATGCCTGGGCCCGTGGTTGCTTTCCCCCCACTGTTAATCACCTGCTCTTTAAAATCTGAGCAGGCTGAAGTCTGGGTGTAGGATCCCAGGCTGGCACCCTTCTCGTCCTGCATCTCCTCTGTGTCATTCCCTTCTAGTGGGAGCTGCATAAGAGGGGTCCCCGAGCCCTAGGCTGGACTCCACTCTAGGGGAGGGGCTGCAGGGCAGCCCAGAGTCTTCCCCAGAGTCTGAACCCCTCCCTCTGCAGTGGCTGGAGGGGTCCTCCCTTACATTCGAGGCCAGTTTGTTGGGCAGGTGTCAAAAAGGTTCTTATTTTTAAGCTTTTGTTTAGCTATAATGTTATTATCACAGCTAACCAAATTAGTAACAATTCCTTAATAGTGTCTTAATACAAGTCTGCATTCAAGTTTTCCCTTTGGGTCGAAATTGTCTTTTTACAGCTGAGCTTATTGTGAATCACAAGCCAAATGTGGACCACGTGTTGTGTTTGTTTGTTCCAGCTTTTAAATATTTCTCAATCTAGAGCAGTACCTCTTCCTACTCCACCCAACAACTACACTAACCCCCTCCCCCAATTTTTCACATCATCACTTTATTGAAGAAACTGGGTCATGTGTCCTAAGAATTTTCCAGTACTGTTCTGGGTTTGACTGATTGCTTCCTGAGGCTTTTTCAGGATAATTTTTAGTTTGGCTGATTGCTTCCCCAAACAATAAAATTTGTTGTTCTATACCCAATATTTTATCTATAGACTAGAAGTTAGACGTGACGATTAGATTCAGATTCAGTCTTGAGGAGTGGGGATACTGTGTTCTTCATAATTTGTTACTTCAGGGAGGCTCAGGGTTCTTGACTGTCTCAGTTTTAATGATGCTAAACTTCATCAGTGAGTTAAGGCTAGTAATGTTCTGATCCTTTTCTTAGAAAGTTCCCTATCTTTTTACCATTAATAATTGCTGCTTGGGTCAGTGATTTTATTGGCAGTTGTGCGAGGGTGTGGTAAATTTTATTATTCTCATTTATCACTGGAATTCCATGTAAAATATTTTCCCCTCTTCCTTTGAGGGCTGTTAGGTTACCCTGAAATGTAGTTTATGTTGGAAAATTGGATAAATTTTTTCCCCTCAGTTAATAGTTTTCACAGTAGTGAATGGATGCCCCAGCAATCCTTAATGGTGTTTTAAGAGTCCCTCCTCTAATAGTTTTAAAAGTTGTGATAAAATACACATAACATAAAGTTTTAAGTGTACAGTTTAGTGGAGTTAAGAAGGTTCACATTGTTGTGCAATCAATTTCCAGAACTCTTCATTTTGCAAAACTGAAACTGTAAACCCATTAAATACAAGTCCCTATTCTCCCCACTCCTTCCCCCAGTAACCACCATGCTACCTTCTATTTCTATGAATTTGACTAGAATAAGCAAATTTCTAGAAAATGGAATCATACAGTGTTTGTCTTTTTCTGAAGGACTCATTTAATTTAGTATAATATCTTTAAGATTCATACATGTTCCAGCATTTGACAAATTTCGGTTTTTTTTTGAGACTGAATAATATTCTGTTGTTGTATATACCACCTTTTGTTTATCCGCTCATTCGTTAATGGACACTGTGTTGCCTCTAGTTGTAAAATGAATAATGCCGCTGTGAACATGGTATGTGCATATGTGCTAAGTCGATTCAGTCATGTCCAACTCTTTATGACGCTAGGGAATGTAGCCCGCTAGGCTCCTCTGTCCATGAGATTCTCCAGGCAAGAATACTGGAGTGGATTGCCATGCCCTCCTCCAGGGGATCTTCCTGACCCAGGGATTGAACCCGAATCTTTCAGGTCTCCTGCATTGACAGGTGGTTTCTTTACCACTAGTGCACCTGGGAAGACCAAACATGGTATCCAAATATCTTTTCAGTTCTTTTTTTGTGTGATCAAATATTTCATTTTATTGAATTATTGTTGCTGTACAAAAAGGTTATACTTCATTTATAGTTACTGTAAAATATTGGCTATATTCCCTGTACTGTATAATATCAATTCCCTTCAGTATATATCCAGAAGTGGAATTGCTGGATCATATGGCAATGAATTTAGTATGATAATCTCTGGGCTCATCCACATTGCTGCAAATGGCTTTGTTTCATTTTCTTTGGCTGAGTAGTATTCCTGCCTGTGTGTGTATGTGTGTGTGTATATACACATACATACCACATCTTTACCGCATTCTTCTTTTACCCCGTTCATCTGTCTGGGGACATTTAGGTTGCTTCCATGACTTTGCTATTGTAAATAGTGCTGCTGTGAACATTGGGGTGCATGTATCTTTTTTATATAAGTTTTTTTCCTGATATATGCCCAGGAGTGGTAATTGCTGGATCTAATGGTAACTGTATTTTGAACTTTTTGAGGAACCTCCATACGGTTTTTCATAGTGGCTGCATCAATTTACATTCCCACCAACAGTATAGGAGAGTGCCTTTTTTTCCACATCCTCTCCAACACTTATTATTTGTAGACTTTTTAATGATGGCCATTCTGGCTGGTGTGTGATGGTACCTTGTAGTTACGATTTGCATTTTTCTAATTATTAGTGTTGAGCATCTTATGCCTGTTGGCCACCTGTATGTCTTCTTTGGAGAAATGTCTATTTAGATCTTCTGCCTGTTTTTTGATTGGGTTTATTTTGTTGTTGTTGTTATTGAGTTGTATGAGCTGTTTATATATCTCAAAAATTAAGCCCTTGTTGGTTGCCCTGTTTGTGAATATTTTTTCCCAGTCCATAGGATGTCTTCATTTTTATTATGGTTTCTATTGCTGTGCAAAAGCTTGCAAGTTTGATTAGGTCCCATTTGTTTATTTTTGCTTTTATTTCTATTGCCATAGGAGACTGACCTAAGAAAACATTGGTATAATTTATGTCAGAGAATATTTTGCTTATGTTCTCTTCTAGGAGTTATTGTCTCATATTTAAGACTTTAAGCCATTTTGAGTTTATTTTTGTGTGTAGTGTGAGAGTGTGTCCTAACCTCATTGATTTACATGCAGCTGGCCAATTTTACCAGCACTGCTTGTTGAAGAGACTGTCTTTTCTCCATTGTATAGTCTCACCTCATTTGTCAAAGATTAATTGACTGTAGATGTGTGGATTTATTTCCAGCCTCTCTGTTCTGTTCCATTGGTCCATGTGTCTGTTTCTCTACCAGTACCACACTGTTCTGATTATTCTAGCTTAGTAGTATTGTCTAAAGTCTGGAGGGTTAAACCTCCTGCTTTGTTCCTTTTCCTCAGGGTTGCTTGGGCAATTCTGAGTCTTTTATGGTGCCATATAAATTTTAGGGTTATTTGTTTCAGTTGTGTGAAAAATGTCCTGATAAGGATTGCATTAAATCTGTAGATTGCTTTGGGTAGTATGACGATTTTAACAATATTAATTCTTCCAATACAAGAGCATGGCATGTCTTTCCATTTCTTTGAATCATCTTCACTTTCCTTTATCAATGTTTATAGTTCTCAGCATGTAAGTCTCCTTCACCATCTTGGTCAGGTTTAGTCCTGAGTTTTATTTTTGATGTGATTTTGGAAGGGATTTTTGTCTGAGTATTGCTTCCTCCACTTTTTTGTCATTTCTGTTTGCATGAAATGTCTTTTTTCCATCCCCCTACTTTCAGTCTTGGCGTGCCCTTCACTCTGAAGTGGGTCTCTTGTAGACAGCATGTTGTAGGCTCTTGTTTTTTTAATCCACTCTCATATATTTTGATTGGAGCATTTAGTCAATTGACATTTAAGGCAATTACTGATTGATAACTATTTATTACCACTTTAAACCTTTGTTTTTTCAGCTGATTTTATTTCTTTGTTCCTTTCTTTTGTTTTTCCTTTTGTAGTTTGATGGTTTTCTTCTGTATTGTGCGTGTGTGTCCTTTTGTTTTTTTGTCAGTCTACTGTATGTCTTTGATTTGTGACTCACTCTTCTCCATGCTCAATTACCCCATTTTGGTCGGGGGGGGGGGTCCCATCAGGCTGGCTCCCGTGTTCCTGTGTTCCTTTCACATGAACTCATTAAACCTTGAGACGCTTCTCTAGTTTGAGCCCCAGCAAGATTTGGGTGAGTTTCTTGTGCTAAACCTAGAATCAGTCAATTTTTCAAGAGGCCATGATGGTTTTAAGTGAGAAATGATATTTAGAGGCTACGTTCTGGGCACCAAATATGCTTATTCTGCTGAATATGTTTCTAGGCCTTTTTAGTGGCCAGAACTAAGAAATACAAAGTTTTAAAATAAGGAAAGGGAGATCTTGAGTTTATACTGGTGCTGAAATGTAAGATTATACTTTAAAAAATTTTTTTATAAATCTTATTATTTTTGGCTGTGCTGGATCTTTGTTGCTGCACGGGCTTCTCTCTAGTTGCAGTGAGTGGGGGCTTCTCACTGCAGTGACTTCTCTCGTCGTGGAGTGCAGGCTCGAGGGTGCCAGTGGTTGTGGCTCCCAGGCTCTGGAGCACGGGCGCGGTGCACGGTTACAGTGCGTGGACTTAGTTGCTCTGTGGCATGTGGGATCTTCCCAGATCAGGGATCAAACCTGTCTCTCGTGCCCTGGCAGACAGATTCTTCACTACTAAGCCACCAGGGGAGGCCAAGATCATACTTTTTATGTAACTGGTTTTATGCTGAAAATCTTGGTTCCTAAAATTTTCCTACTATACACACACACATACATACATATACACATATATACATACAAATTTCAAAATGTCAAGACCAATATTAATTCTTTTTTTTCCCCCCGATATTAATTCTAACCTTAGGACACCACATAAAGTTGAGGGTGTATTTGCAGTTAGTTCTTCATGTCCTTAGAATATGTCATATTCAGGATGTATAAGTCAAAATACTGTGCTGTAAAAGTCACAGAGAATAATTTTTTTTTACCAACTCAGTGGCCTGTCTCGTTTCATCTGTGTTCGTATCCCCTCTCCCTCAGTGTATTATTTTTAAACAAGTCCCAGCATTATAGTATCTATTGCAGTATATATATTTAAAAGAAAAAGTTTTTTCCTTAAAAAAAACCCCATAGATATAATATCATCACACCTCAAAATTAATAATAATTCCTATAATCAAATCTTAATATCAAGTGTCAAATGTCTCAGTATTGTCATCATTAAGTTAGGTTTAAAATATCCAGTTATCTCATTTCTTTTTACACTTGGCTTGCTCGGATCAGGATCCAAATAAGGACTATCCATTGCAGTTGTTGAAAATGTCTTTTAAGTCTCTTTTAATCTGTAAATTCCTCTTCCTCAATCTTTTTTTTTTCTTTTTTTGCCTTGGCATTTCTTTTGTTGAAAAAGCTGGATTGTTTGTGCTGTAAGGGCCCTACATTCTGGATATCACTGCTTAAAACAGATCTTTTCCTGGCCTCCCTAACAGTTTATCGGTCTGAGCACTCCTGAGCCCAGGTCAGTGGCTCCCTTGTTATTAAGAAGGGCCACTCCAGACAGAGGCCCCTGCTCAGCCTCTCGCTTTCCCCTCTGGGCTTCTGGACTCTCCCTGTCTGAGAGCTTCTGTGAGTCGGCCTGGAGGACTTGTCAGCCTCTGGTTCTCTCCTGGGTCTGAGAACAAGGAAGCCGATAGCTGTTCTGTGCTTCTCTGTGGATGGATGTGGGCAGTTGTGGCTCCAGGCACCGCTCCCCCACCCCAGAGTGGGCAGACAGACAGCATACGGAAACTCGGTCTGCATGGAGGCTTCTGAGTGTTAACCATGGGGGCTCAGGTCTGCTCTGGGAGTCTCTGAGCCAGCTTACCGAAGGTGTTGAGTCAGAACCTGCTGAGCCAGGGCAGAGGCCCCGGTAGCCCTGGCAGTGTAGCAAGATGTTAGAATGCAAGAAGTGCCTTGGGCCTCTGGAAAGGAAAAGCTGGTCCTCTGCTGAGCAAGGGGAGAGCAGGATCACAGCCCGATGTGTGGGACTGATTTTGGGGAAAATAGGGTTAGGTCTGCCTTTGATTAATAAGGTGAGAAGCAAAGCTAGAGTGGGCATCAGTGTCATCACTGCGTGAGGCCTGGGGGTGTCACCAGTTCCTAGGAGAGTTGGGAGAGAGAACGGTTGGGGGTGGTGGCCCTTCTGATCAGCGTCCTAGGAAAGCCAGGCAGCCCTGGTTGAGAGCTCCTGGCCTGTGGCTCCCGCCTGAACTGCTCTCTCCGTGTTCTTTCCTAGACCTGCCAGGTGTGCCAGATGCTGCTGCCCAACCAGTGCAGCTTCTGCGCCCACCAGCGGATCCACGCCCACAAGTCCCCCTACTGTTGTCCGGAGTGCGGGGCCCTCTGCCGCTCTGCCTACTTCCAGACCCACGTAAAGGAGAACTGCCTGCACTATGCCCGCAAGGTGGGCTACAGGTGGGTGCTGTCCTGGGCTTGCCCAGTGGCTGCTGCTTTTTCTGGACCGTAGCTCGTCTCAGACTGGAGTTTGGGGAGTTCCCTTGTAGTCTAGTAGTTAGGGTTGGCTTCCATTGCCGTGGCCCGGGTTCAGTTCCCGGTTGGGGAACTGAGATCCCATAAGCCACATATTTTGGCATAGCCAAACTATTAGAGGAATTTTGAGTTTTGGTCTTATGAGCCCTGGGCTCCAGCTTAATAAGACAAGAATGTTGATTGGTATGTGGACAGACATTTTTACTTTGTAGGGAACCAGAAAAGCAGGGAGAAGAACAAGGAGTTAAAAAGTTAAACATTGGGGGAAAACAAAAAGCTTTGGGACCTTCCTGGCCATTCAGTGGTTAAGACTCTGAGCTTCTATTTCAGGGGGCACAGGTTTGATCCCTGGTTGGGAAACTAAGATCCTACATGCTGTGAGTGGCACAGTGTGGCCAAAAGATGAGAAAAAGAGAAAAGCTTTAAAGAGGAAGATATTGGGGAGATTAGGCTATACCTAACATTCACTTTGTCAGTTTAATTTTTTTTTTTAAGGTATATAAATTTGCTCAGAAAGTTATCATGCTTGGCATATTAATTTTAAAGTACTATTTCAATAATAAATTTGCAAATTTTGGTACTTTCAAATGTTCTCAATTTCTGAACAAATGGCAAGCTGCCAAAGTCAAAGAACTTTTATCTTTGTGTTGATTAGTTTTTGTCAGTTTGTGAGAAGTAAGACCTGAGAATGGAAAAAATGATCAGCTTCATGGTAAAACCAAGAAAACTCTATTTTAAACTGATCTATCTCTATGGTGTTAAATGGATATAAGCAAGAAGTCATTTTCAAAGAAAAGATCAAAATGAGGGTGAACGCTCCTTCTAAAACTCATTGATCCGTAATTTTACATTGACCCAATCAGGTCTCCTTTACTTGTTTACTTGCTTGGGAGTTTCTACATCTTATGTTTTCTGGTCATTTTTGCTTCAGAAATTTAATTTTGCCCAAATTTATTAAGGTTTTCTTCTCTTTGGTATTAAATTTTGATTTAGTTCATTTAATGGGCTTCCCAGATGGCCCAATGGTAAAGAATATGCCTGCCAATGCAGGCGACTCAAGAGACACGGGTGTAGTAATCCCTGGGTCAGGAGGATCCCCTGGAGAAGGGAATGGCAACCCACTCCAGCATTCTTGCCTGTGGAAACCCATTTTCCCTTACCTGGGAAACCGCCAGGGGAGACTGGTGGCCTATAGTCCATGGGGCTGGAAAGAGTCGGACAGGACTGAGCAACTGAGCACAGTTCACTTAAACTTTTTTTGAGTTCTTACTGTTGCTTTAGCCTAGTGCCAAACACTCAAGACACAAAGATGGTTAAAACCCATCTCCTGTGCTCAAGGGGGCTTCAATCCAATGGCTTTCAAACATGCAAGCAGGTACTTATGATTCAGAGTGGCTAAGTCCTATATTTGAGGAATGGTCAGGAAAGCTTCATAGAGAAGATAGGAGGAGGCTTTTAGGTAGAAGAAAGGAGGCAAGCCTGTCTGGCAAGAGCAAAGGCAAGGGTGCCAGCACACAAAGAAAACTCTTAGGAAGGATAAACATGGTGTGGGTCACGATGAACTGGAGGAAGGGTGAGCAATGAGACAAGGAGGTTGGTAGGGGCCAGGCCACACAAGACCTTGTATTCCTTGGCAGGCATCTGGACTTTTTCCTGGGGATAGTGAGGAGCGATGGAAAGATTTGCAGCAGGGGAGTGATCCAGCCAGATCCGTGTTTTAGAAAGATCATTCTGATACGTGTATTAGAGGCGAGAGACTAGAGACTGGTTGTGTGACAATTCCGATGAGACACTGAGTGATCCAGCTAAGGCATGGCTGTGAGGATAGAGAGAAGGAAAACCTGAGAGAGATTTAGAAAGGAGAAGCATTAGGACTTGAGGATGGCTTATGTACCAGGGTGAGGGATGGGGAATGGTTAGTGATCACTTCCAGGTTTCTCTCTTGGGATAACCACTTCCAAATGTAGACTTATTTCTTTTATGTGTTAGAGAGAATGGAGATGCTAACATATATGGGAAGAAAACAACCCAGAGATGGGGTTATACAGAGCCCTTGCCACCATGTTGCAAAGAGCATGGCTTGGCAGCATTCTAGGCTACATTTTAAAACTGAACACCTCACCAGCCCAGGTTGGGTGCATGAGACAAGTGCTCGGGCCTGGTGCACTGGGAAGACCCAGAGGGATTGGGTGGAGAGGGAGGTGGGAGGGGGGACCGGGATGGGGAATACATGTAAAAAAAAAAAGATACACTATGGTTGTGATAAAAAAAAAAAAAAAAAACAACTGAACACCTGAATGAGTGTTTTTTGCAGTATTCATAACACTTGAAAATACCTTTCTAATTTTGACATAAGTGTATGCTGCTTGTTTCAAGATCTAATTGAATCCATAGCAATCAATACTTTCGCTTTTGTACTTGAATTTTTAAAAAAATATATTGATTTATTTAGCTGCATTGTGGGTTTAGTTGCCCTATAGCATGTGGGATCTTCCCCGCCCAGGGATCAAACCCGTGTCCCTTGCATTGGAAGGCAGATTCTTAACCACTGTACCACCAAGGAAGTCCCTGTATTTGAATCTTGAATCCAAGAAATTTTCAGTAACGCAGATGGATTAATAGTATTTTTTGTACTTTAATTATATATTTTACCTTCTTCTATAAGAGTAAAAAGCAATGTAATGTCTCAGAAGTAGTTTATCAAGCCTTTTTGTAAGAAAGGTCAGACAAAATGATGCAGCTAGGATTACTGAAGATACTGACATTAATGTTTTCAGTGATCTGTGGTTGAATTCAGAAGATATGCACACTGACATAGTATTCGTTGTACTTAAGATCTTCAGCTATTAATGTATTTTTTGTAATAGCTTTTATTCAGATGTAATTCATATACCATCCTATTCACCTATTTAAAGTGTCCTATTCAGTGCTTTTTACTATATTCACAAAATTTTACAATCAGTCACAATGATCAATTTTAGAGTATTTTCATCACCCATAAAGAAAGAAACTCTATATTTGTAGTCCTTCCATTCCAAGAGAACAACAACTTTCTGTCACATAGATGTGCCTCCTTTGGATGTTTCATTTAGATGAAATCATATAATATATAGTCTTAGCATAATAGTTTCAAGATTCATCCACATTGTAACAAATAATAGTTATTCACTCCTTTTTTGGGTTTTATGAATAATGCTGCTAATGAACATTCATGTGTAAGTTATTAGGTAACAATGTTTTCAGTCCTTTGGGATATATACCTGGGAGTAAAATAGCTGAGTCAAATTGAGGAACTGCCACATTGTCTTTCAAAGTAGCTATACCACATTTCTATTCCGAGCAGGGGTGGATGAGAGTTTTGTCTTCTTTACATCGCTGCCAATATTTGTTACTGTCTGACTTTTGATTATAGTTATTGTGGGTGTAAAGTGATATCTCATGATGGTTTTGATTTGTATTTCCCTGGTGGATAATGATGTCAAGCATATCTTCATAAATTTATTGGCCATTTGTATATTTTCTTTAAAGAAATATCTATGCAGATCCTTTGCCCATTTAAAAATCATGTTATTTGTCTTTTTGTTGTTGAACTGTAAGGGTTCTTTATATATTCAGGTTACAAGTCTTTTGTCAGATATATGATTTGCAAGTATTTTCTCCCATTCTCTGGATAGTAATCATTTTTAATAAATGCTAAGAGTACCTATGTTCCATTTCAATAAGCTCTACTATAGAGTTTTATATTAATAATATTTTTATTTATTTAAAAATTGTATCTTTTGGCTGTGCTGGATCTTTGTTGCTTTGCATAGGCTTTCTCTACTTTCGATGGCTTCTCTTGTCGCACAGCACAGGCTCTAGGTGTGTGGGCTTCAGTAGTTGTGGCACACAGGCTTAGTTGCTCTGTGGCAGGTGGAATCTTCTCAGACCAGAAGTGGAACCCATGTCACCTACACTGGCAGACAAATTCTTACCCACTGGGCTGCCAAGGAAGTCCTGACAATGTAATATTTTTAGGATTTTGTAAATTATTCTGCTCTTTGTTGATAATTTGGAGAGTGACCAATGATGTCATAAGGAAGCAAGTTTAGACTATTTAATAATATGTTACCCCATGTATCACTCAGTCGTGTCCGACTCTTTGCGACCCCATGGACTGTAGCCTACCAGGCTCCTCCATCCATGGGATTCTCCAGGCAAGAATACTGGAGTGGGTTGCCATTTCCTCCTCCAGGGAATCTTCCCGACCGAAGGATTGAACTCAGGTGTACCACATTGCAGGCAGACGCTTTAACCTCTGAGCCACCAGGGAAGCCTTATTTGTGATTATTGACAAAGCTACATATTTTACTGCTCTTTATCTTTTCTAAGTGAAAGTTGCTCCCTCATGTCCAGCTCTTTGCAACCCCATGGACTCTACAGTCCATGGAATTCTCCAGGCCAGAATACTGGAGTACATAGGCTTTCCCTTCTCCAGGGGATCTTCCCAACCCAGGGGTTGAACCCAGGTCTCTTGCACTGCAGGCAGATTCTTTACCAGCTGAGCCATCAGGGAAGCCCTATCTTTTCTAAAGCTTTATATATTTGACAGCATGTGGTTCTATTATTGCCTGTTTTCTCTTAAAAAAACAGTTGGTAAAGAGTTGTGTCGTGGGGTTAGAATTCTTTTCTACACAGCTTTTCATTAGTTTGCAAACCCTGTTTGATTCAGACCTTCACTGAGACCACTCGGCTCGTGTTCTTTTTCCCCTTTATAGTCTTACTTTCCATGAGGTTTCCGCCAAGAATGTCTTCTGGGTAAATAGAATGGATTTTCACTTGTACTTATGTTGCTCCTGTAGGACTTTGGTCAAACTGCACAAATAAAACCACTTAGATTCTTTACACATGTCAGGTGTATTTGGCTACTTTGAATGAATTTGGAAATGTGTGGATTTTTTTCTCCCCTCATAATTACTTGTGGTGTGGATATGCTTCTGTGTGCTAGGAGCTGGTCACTATTTTGTTTGGCAGGAGAGAAAAGAAAATACAATTTAAGTGTAAGTAGTTTGTATGGAATCTCTAACACATTCACATTTAGTAATGAATGCTTGTTGGCCTTAATTGCAAACAGACTTTGGGTTCTGTGCACTTTTCCTCATTGCTGATTAAGTTTGTAAAAGGTGATTTTGTCTCCCCCTTTCCCCCTGCCCTGCCCTAAACACACAAAAGAATGAAAAACAAAAAGGATTGGTCAGGATTCTGTGATGAGTCATGTGGATTGCAAAAATGGGCTAATATGTTGAAATGAATGCTAATATTTGGAGTCAAAGAATTCTTAAGTGAAGACATATCCTTTATTTCAGTAAAGTGACACCCTCTCTTCTAGATTACGGGGATGCCAAGGTTACAGGAGCAAGCATTATTGCAACAGACAGAAAATAATAGTTACCTCAAGAGCTGAGAGCAAGGAGGGTTTTCTCTCATGTAGGGAGACTTGTCTGTGTTTTCAGGTGGGAAGAAAGACTGAACACGTGAGAGAGTCTAGGAACCCGAATAGATGAAGGTTAGCTTTAGAGGAACATCATTTTCTGATGTTGAAGAAAGGAAACACAGTATTTATAGAGAGATATATTGAAGTTGAAAGAAGAGTTCCACATGACCTCAATTTCAGAGAAATGGCTTAAGACAATTCCTATATTATAAAAATGATATAGTCACTAAACAAAACTCAGAAAGTACAAATCAGTAGGGGAAAAGAGAAATAAAAATGTTATCCATAGTCCCACCGAGGAGAACTTAGAACACTGACGAGCTGCGGAGTCCAGAACGGTATCAGGCACATGTGCCTATTGAGAGCTTGAAGTGTAGCCAGGGCAACTGGCTGTTTTATTTTATTGATTGAAATTTAAATAGTCACATGGACAGTGCTGTATGAAACACTTCCGTCATCACGGCAAGTTCCACAGTGCTGCTCTAGAGCACTTCCTGGGCTTTGAGGGCTGTTGGTTTTAATGTGGCTGTCATGGTGGGTGTAGCACCTCCTCAGTGTGCATTTTATTAGGTGAACATCCCTTCCTGTTCCGCACCCGCATGTGGGGAGGCACAGGCTTTCTGCAGTCTCCTTCTAAAACTCACCCTGGACTCCTGCAATTGGATCACACTTAAATGGGTGCTATTAATGTCATTTTTGAACCATACTCCCCTTTCTCCACTCCCACCAGCTCTATGGTTAGGCTCAATCAAGTTTTTAGCTTGCAGAAGAATATTCTCTGGCCTGTGAGGGGAGGGCTTTCTTTCCTCTCCTTGACCAGGAGGATCTTGGGCTTGGGAGGCCCTGGGTGACTGTATTGTGCCTGGCGGCAGCAATCAAGACTAAATGCATAAGGGAGGGGTAGGTCCCTGAGATGGCTCTCTTCCTGTCCTCCATCCCTGCTCTTCTAACACCACTTCTTGGTCTGACATACCTGTTCCCCGGCCCCACCTCTGTCATCCAGGTGCATCCACTGTGGGGTTGTCCACTTGACCTTGGCCTTGCTGAAAAGCCACATCCAGGAGCGGCACTGCCAGGTCTTCCACAAATGTGCGTTCTGCCCCATGGCCTTCAAGACTGCCAGGAGCACCGCGGACCACAGCGCCACCCAGCATCCCACCCAGCCCCACAGACCCTCCCAGTGAGTGTGGCTCCGGGCCCTGCAGGCCTGTGGGAGCAGAGCAGATCAGTGTGGGGCCCTATGGGAGGTGTTGGATGGACTGGGAAGCCCAGGCTAGTGGCAGAGAGTGGCTAGAAGCCCGGAGTGCTTCGGAGATGTCTGAGACTGGGGAGTGTCCACATTGGCTCAGAGTATGGCTTTTCCCAACCTGAGTCTGGTTCGGAGAGATCACACGTGGGGTGGAGGGGCCTGTGGTTCTGCCGGCTGGGCCTTGGTCACCTCATGCCCTGGGGCTTGTCGTGGCAGGCTCATTTATAAGTGCTCCTGTGAAATGGTCTTCAACAAGAAGAGGCACATCCAGCAGCACTTTTACCAGAATGCCAGCACGGCGCAGGTGGGCGTCTTCAAGTGCCCTGAGTGCCCGCTCCTGTTCCTGCAGAAGCCGGAGCTGATGCAGCATGTCAAGGTGGGGCCCCTTGGGGAGGGGGCTGGGGAGACGGGCATGTCCTCAGGCCAGGTGCCTTGCCCTGCATCCCCCGCCCCCAACCAGTCAGTAATCGCTCCCTCTGTCCCCAGAGCACCCATGGTGTGCCCCGCAACGTGGACGAGCTGTCCAGCCTCCAGTCCTCAACAGACTCATCTTCAAGCCGCCCTGGCCCTCGAGTGCCTGCTGAGCCGCCAGCCCCCAGTGTGACTGCTCGGGGCAGTGCCCTGCCCTCCAGCCGCTGGGGCAGGCCTGAGGCCCACCGCAGGGCTGAGGCCAGGCCCCGGCTGAGGAACACCGGCTGGACCTGCCAGGAGTGCCAGGAGTGGGTTCCAGATCGGGAGAGCTACGTGTCCCACATGAAAAAGAGTCACGGTCGGGTAAGTGCGGGACATGCAGGTCCGTCTGTCCTACAAGATCAGAGCCTCTGCCATGGCATGACCCCCTGTCGATCCTGGTGCCATGGGCATGGTGGGCGATGCAGATCCTTAGTTCTTGGGGCATCCTCCTTTCTGCCTGCCTCCTCTGAGAAGAAAGATGCACCCAGAAGTGTCTTAGGGTTCTGATGCCTTGCATCCTGTGGTCCCCATAGACGTTGAAGCGGTACCCGTGTCGGCAGTGTGAACAGTCCTTTCACACCCCCAACAGCCTGCGCAAACACATCCGCAACAACCATGACACAGTGAAGAAAGTCTACACTTGTGGGTGAGTCCCTGGAGGTGGGAGCCAAGGGGCTGAAATTCATCCAGACCACTGTGGTACCCCTAGGGCTTTTCTCAGCTGTGAGATCAGGGCTCAGAGGCAAGAGACAAGCCAGTTTCTACTGGGAAGTGCTATGGCTAGGTTAGGAAGAGGGTGTTCCAGAGCCTGGTGGCTCTGGAGGTCTCCCCCTTCCCAACTCCTAAGCCCAGGCCACCTTGTCCGGCGGTGGTGGAGGGCCCTGAAGTTGGAGAGGAATGGGTGCAATGTGAGCAGGTGCCCTGTCAGCCATGAGACTTCAGCACCATCTCTCCGAGCTTTTGGACAGAACAGGCTGCTGTCAGGCTGGCCGCTGGGCCCACACTTGGGTCTCTGGACACTGATACCAGAGAGAGGAGAGTCAGGTCACAGCTTAGGGCCAATACAGATACTCTGACTTCCGGTCGTCTTCCGACTTGGCTGGCTTGTACTGGCTGGATTTCCCAGTGCCACCCTGCCAGCCCGAGGACCACCCTGCCTACCCCAGACTATCTCCCCTGGAGCCAGAGGCAGCTTCACCTTAGCCTGCCTGCTTGGCCCCCCAGACACTGGGGCCGATCATCTTACACGGCCGCTCTGGCTGCGCTTCTGCAGGTATTGCACAGAGGATAGCCCCAGTTTTCCTCGGCCCTCCCTCCTGGAGAGCCACATCAGCCTTATGCACGGTATCAGAAATCCTGATTTGAGCCAGACGTCCAAAGCCAGACCTTCGGGTGGACATTCCCCTCAGGTGAGTGTGGGGCCCCTGCCCGCCGGAGCAGCTTGCCTGGTGAGGCTGGAGCTGGAGGGGCGCTGGGCAGGTTACCAGAGCCCACATGTCCTTGTGGCCGGGGAGCAGCCAGCAGTGACAGCAACTTCCATGCTGGCCACTCTCTAGCCTTGTGTGACCTGCCTGGGGACCGCACACAAAGAAAGGAACAGGGATCTACAAGGCGGCCCAGTGGCCTTTTCTCGCCGCCGTTTCCCTGTCACTGTGACCCGTCTCTCGGTGTGTCCTGAGCCCTGTGGACACTGGATCGTGTCCACGTACCTCCTGCCTCTGCCTCTCTGCGGTCCTCAGAGGTGGGGTGGGTAGGCCTGACTGTTGGGAGAGGATGCAACGCTTCACTGAGTCACACCCCCATCCCCACCCCTACCCCACCCCCCAGTTACAGAGGAGCCAGACCTAGAATCCCACTACCCCGGACCCTCTGACCTCACCCCTGTTTCATGCCCTGTACCCATTTCTGGTCAGCTTCTGGGGCAGCCTCGTGTCCCTCTTCCCAGTGGACTCCCCCAACTCCATGATGGGGGCGGCTCCTCATAGGGGCACACATGCCTGGGAAGCCCAGAGAGCTGCCTAGCTTTTCAGGGGGCTCTTTACTGGCTATTCAGAGAAGGGCCCTGGTCTGCAAAGGCCGTTTCACACACAGCAGGTAGGGTGTCAATTGACGCTTCGGCAACAACTGTCTATGATTAAGATGCACACCTTCTTTTCTCTGCACATGCGTACACCCTTTGATCTAGCAGTTCCACTTCTGAGATTTATCTGTCAGATGGCTTTGGCCCAGGGGATAAAGAAATCTGTCAATATATGTTGTAAAGTGAAAAAAAGCAGGGTGAAGAAAAGTGTGCATGCAATGCTGTCATCTTGTAAAAGGTGGTGGTTGTATTTCTGTACATGACTGGAACATCTTTCGGCAGTACCTCAGAACCCCAGTGTTGTCTGGGGAGCCAGGGAGGGGGGACCTCATCTCTTCTGTACCCTTCCCACGTCTTTGGAATGTTGTGCTCCATGGATGTGTCCATTAAAACAAGCAAAAGAAGCAAACCACACCTAGACCAGAACTTAGGGCTGGGCTGAGTCCGGCCTGGGTGATGATTCTGCAAGTCCTTGGACTGCGTTGCCCATGCTGGGGGCTCATGTCCTGGGCTTCCAGGCTCACGTCGTTTCTCCTTCAGGTGAACCATCTGAAAAGACCAGTCAGCGGAGTGGGGGCCGCTCCTGACACCAGCAATGGCACGCCAGTCTCTTCCACCAAAAGGCACAAGTCGCTTTTCCAGTGTGCGAAATGTAGCTTTGCCACGGACTCAGGGCTGGAGTTCCAGAGCCACATACCTCAGCACCAGAAGGACAGCTCCACAGCCCAGTGTCTCCTCTGTGGCCTGTGCTACACCTCTGCCGGCTCCCTCAGCCGCCACCTCTTCATCGTCCACAAGGTGAGAGACCAGGAGGAGGAAGAGGCGGAGGCGGCGGAGCCAGAGGAGGGCTCTGGGGAGGAGGTGCCCATGGAGACCAGGGAGAACGGACTGGAAGAAGGTGCCGAGGAGCCTCTGGTGGGCGACTCCGAGACGGGGAGATCACTGGGCCTGGCCCAGGACGAGGATGGGGCCCAAGATGTTCTCAGTCGACCACAGACCTCTCAGGACCGGGACAGCCTCACACCGTCCCCGCAGGTGTGACCGGAGGCCCTGCGGTGCATGGTCGGGGTGGCGCCATGGTGTCCTCCGCCTGCTGTGTGGACAGTGGGAAGGAACAGGCCCCGCCCGGCGTGAGTGTGTCTGGCTGTGTCCTGGAGCAGTGTCTGCCCTGAGCTGCGGGGGGCTGGGTGGCCCCCAGCCCTGGGAGATGCGGGGTCGCCCAGGACCCTCACAGCTCCGAATCTGCTTCTGTTATTTATGGCTTTGTGCTGCTTCTCGGTACCCCAACTCTCGTCTGTGTCCTTCCAACCCCGACGCGGTCACCTCTGCTCAAGGCCCTTCAGCAGCCGCGCTCTTCTGGGAGGTCCCCTTTCTCTGCCTTCAGCCCGGGCCTCCCTGCAGCAGCTTGCTTCACAATACCAGAGCCTGAGACAGGGGAGGAGGGTGCTGGCGTGTCCCCCCTCTGAGAGAGCTCGCCCCGCCTGGCTTGCAGAGGGCTCTCGGTCCCCATGCCCTTCCTCTCTGTCTTCTCTGATTCCTTCCCTGCAAACAGTCCTGAGGATGCATTGTCGTGCGGGCTCATCCTGTCTGTGTGGGCGGGAAAAGCTTCTGTTTGGAAGCTGGGCGCAGAGAGGCAGGACCTCCCCTTCCCCCACCACCCCCTCGAAGGAGCTGTGCATCCTTGTTCTGCTGCTGTTCTGCCTTTCCTGATGAGCGGGGTTCGAGGCACACAGACATGGGATATTTGTACTCTTGCTCCTGTGCCATTAGAGAGGCCGCTGCCCCAGCAGCCAGCCCCTCCTCCTCGGCTACACTCATGTTGCTCAGACTATATTTCAAATAAAAGAAAACCTTCTTACCATGCAGGTAGGCTCTTGTATTCCTGTTCAGGTGAGCCTGACCCTACCCTCCTCCTCCTCAGACTTCCCTCGCTGGCCCATCTCTGAGAGAGAATGGCGTTTCCTGCTGTCCAAGAAGGAAGGTCCTGTCTAGATTCTGCAGCTGTGGTTAGGAAACCAGGAGCTCAGGGCTTCTGAAGGGGTGAAGGGAGGGTCGTAATGCCAGTCAGGAGTCACATCCAAGTCCCCCCTGCAACACTGAACTAGTGGCATTGGCTTTTAGGGCCTACTGACATTTTGCTGGGCACCTCCATCTTTCCTACAAATGGTTCTCTTCTACTAAGAGAACCCTTTACTGGTGGGAGAGGAGAAGGGAGAGAATGGAGGAATTTTTGTTTTTTCTACACTGTTCAAGAGGCTGTGGTATTGTCACTGCTGCAGGGAACTCGGGTGTAGCAGAATGGGGACTGGACATGGGAGGCTGGGCTGTCTTTTCATTGATGGCAGAGCTAGGACCTGGCCAGCACAAGGAGCTGGCTGTGTGGAGGTGCCCTCTGACCTCTGCTCTGAGCGGCTGCTGCAGCCCTGCCTGGGTCGGATTTGGGGCTGGGCCTGGCAGGCTTTTGTGCAGCACCAGTAGGTGGGTGCTGATGACATTCTTAGTGACAATCTTTCAAGGAGGGCATCGAATATCAATTATAAATTATTAAGTCAGATAAATACGCCTGACCTTTTTACAGTTGGGGAAAAAAACTTCTTCCTCTAGCAAATGCCAAATTTCTAGTGGAAATGTTAAAGGCATTGGGAAAGGTTAATGCTTTTTCAGTTTCAGAGAAACAGTATTTTTCAGTGTTTCCCAGGCCTGCGAAGGCCACCATGTCCCTGCTTCCCAAGCAGGCAATGAGGTCCAAGCAGGCCTGATTCCGGCTGCGTGCAGCGCCAGAGCCAGCCCCCACTCAGTTGTCAGCCCCTCCTGATTCCAGCCTCAGGGTGCCTGCCCTGCACCCGGGGCTGTTCACAGGAACACATTACAGAAGAGGTTGATAGAAGTGTTGGAAATGGATGACTGAGTTGCTTCCCGCTCAGAGACTGTGCTAGCTGGAGCCTGGGTAGAGGAGGCGGTGAAATCACAGGTTTGACTTGTCCTGACCTCAGTCCTGGGGGTGGCGTGGAGTGGAAAGAATGTGGAGCCACTCACCAAGAAACCTGGGTCACAGCCTGGCTTCTACCCTCAACCAGCTCTTGACAGACCCCTTAACTTTACCAGTCCCTTCCCTCAAGATAGGCCTGGTATTTCCCACCCGACTCAGTTCACAGGCTGCTGTGAGTTGATAAGCCAGGAAGCGTTTTCTAGTTTATGAAACACTGTCGATGTCTGGGATTCTTGACCTGACTTTAGGCTTGGAGGGGGAGTGCACCTTGCCCGCCGCTCAGACTTAGATGCTGATGGTCAGTTCTCCACTGTTCAGTAACAGCGGTAATTATCAGCACTGTAAGCCCTGCTCGTGGGCCCAGCATCTTGCTAATAAAAACACTTTCCAGGGGTTCTTCCTTTGTTCTCAGCATTATCTCACAGTGATCCTCTCCATTTTACAGAGAAGGAAACCGAGGCTCAGAGAGCTTAAATAACTTGCTGGATAACCTTGTAAGTCAAGCCCATCTGGTTCTAAAGTCCACTGTGTCAACTGCTCTGTTGCCTTAGTGACTCGGCTACTCTGGCTGGTGGCCAGCTTATCACCAGTTTGCAGCCATCCAGACACCTGCTTTCCTACCTCCCCTGCAGTTGGGAAGCCCACTGAGCACCAGGTTCTCTTTGGAGTCAGTTTGTGCCTCTTCACCCCAAGGAGGGCACATTTGCTTGGGGCATTCCACAGCACATGCAGTATCCCTATGACCTCATTCTCATTGGTATTTACCTTTCCATTTGAAGATCACCATTTTGGTGGGGGGGCTATTCCAGAAAAGGTGGCTCAACCCTCACAGGGATCATGGTTCCCTCAGGGTCCAGTATCTTTTGATCTTTTTTTCAAAGGTGTCTTTAAAGAGTTCTGTTGCTATCATTTGTTATCATCAGAAAATGCTTGCTATAACAAGCACTTAGCTGCTGGAGTGAATGCTGCCCAAGTTAAACATATAAGATTCCCACCCATGTAGAAGCTACAATTTAATACACTCTGAGGCCTGACCAATGACTAGTATTTATTTTCCAACAACTTTATCTGTAAAATGATATGTCAAATTACTATAATCTGATTGGTGTAGAGAGAGTTCTTCTCTTAACTTATATAAACAGTCTGGCTTTTGAAAACAGCTGTGGTTCAGCAAGTTCAACCCACTTTGCCTTCTGTGAGGCTGAACACCCCACCCTACCCCTGCCTACCCTGGTCATCACTATATATTCAGCTCTGGGTACACTTCCTTTTACTTGCTTTAAATTTTTTTCTTTTTCATTTTTTGAAGAAAATTAACACACATACATGGTAAGACATCCAAACAATACAGAAGAGAATACAATGAAAAGTAAGCTGCTCATTGGAGGTCAGCCTTTGGTTCTACAGCCCGCTCTCCAGAATTAATCACTGTTTCTATATCTTATGTATCTTTCTAAGTAATTCTATGCATTTACAAGCTTTTAAAATATGTGTATTTATATATCTATTTTTTAATACAAATGATAGCATTCTCTACACAAGTGTTCTGAAGCTTGATTTTTTTTTTTTTCATTTATATCATGGAAATTGTTCCAGATTCATCCAGTGGGGACAGTCTAATTCACAGTTCCTTGTATACAGTAGTGGTTTAAAGAGTGTTTGAGTGAATTAATGCATGCCTATGTGGAAGAATCTGATTCATTTGATAGCTGTCAATACACAGTTCTCTCAGGGCCTGATATGAGACAGAATCTTCTAGATTCTGGAAATTTCTCCCTGTCTTTTCCAGGGGATCCAGGTCCAATCCTGACCTTTTCCACCAACAACTGCCACAGCAGTCTTACAGACTGGGAGCCTTCGGTCCCTCTGAAGGGAAGAGCAGACTAAGACTCAAGTCCCATTGTAGGTTTTTTTTTTTTTTTTTTGAGATCTCTATTTCAAATGCCTTTTTCTCAGGGGACTTCCCTAGTGGTCCAGTGGTTAGGGCTCTGTGCTTCCACTGCAGGGGGCATGGTCCAATCCCTGGTTGGGGAACTAAGCCCCTACAAATTCTGCGGCATGGCCAAAATAAAATAAAAAAGGCTTTTTCTTATTGGCAAATGATATAGCATTACTAGATAAAATAAAAACCATGCATATTTATAATCTGTCTTTGCAGTTTTCTTTTTTGCATATCATTTTCCAATCCTTGTGCATTTCATAGCTGAGTTTATGATATAATTATGGTAATAACAGTGGTTAACATCAAACTACATGACAGACATCACTCTCACATTCATTCTCCTATTTAGCCTATTTAACAGTCTTGTGAGATAAATACTGTTATTCCTTTTGGATGGGAGTGGTTGACCCTGAGGTCATGGAATTAGTAAGGGGCAGAGCTGAGATTCACTAAGTGTGACTAACGCTGCACTGCCTCTGATTTTGTACCCTACTTTTTTATACTTAATGTTATGTCTGGACATTTTCCATGTTTCTACATAGCCTTGAGAATAAACTCACTGGCAATGTGATAGAATGAAGAAATCCAGTAACTAAAAGTCAGGAGCCCTAGGTTCCAATCTGAATGCTACAGCTTATTTGATCTCTCTTTTTTTGCCCTCAGTTCAGGCATCTGTCAAATTGGGAGATGGGGAGTTTTAAATTCCTGGGGATCTAGAATTGAACCTGGTTAGATTTAATCTCCTTGGTCCTGTATGTGCTGTGCTTCATTGCTCAGTTGTGTCTGACTTTGTGACCCCATGGACTGTAGCCTGCTCTCCTCTGTCCAGGTAAGAATACTGGAGTGGGTTGCCATTTCTCACTCCAGGGAATCTTCCTGACCCAGGAATTGAACCTGCATCTTCTATGTCTCCTGCATTGGCGGGTGAGTCTTTACCATTTAAACCCCTAGGGAAGTCCCTAAGAAGCCCAAGAAGATTTTATCTTCTTGATCCTGTATGTATTTATATAGAGGGAACTTAACTAAAGGCAAGACCTCTTGTTGAATTTCTTCTTTTGTTTAATTGTTTTATTTATTTATTGACTTTTGGCCTAGATATATAAAAAAATGAAAGACCCCTCCCACTGACCCCCACAAGGCAATATCACTTTTATTTGCATTTATTTATATTTCAATTTGCATCAGATTTCTGCTTTTTCAGTTAGAATTCTAGTTTTTTTGAGGAAATGTTTCTTTTGGCTTTTGTCAAGCCTTTCCAAGTCTGAACTGCTTACTTGGTAATTCCAAAGCATCTTCAAATCCTTCTGTTACCCAGGTAAGCTATTCATTATTTAGAGACCTAGGGCCAGATGAATTATTGAGCTAGTTCATCGTGTCATGAACTAGCATGCTCTTATTTTTTTAAATAATATTTACTACCCTTTGCAAATTCGAAATCGTTTTTAGTGCTTCAATACTGAAAACTCAAGTGTGTAGGTAATGGATGGTATGGAAAAGGTGGCAAAACAATACAATGAACCCATTTAAGTCAATTCTAACTGGGAAAAGCCTCCACCATAGTGAGTGCTCACGTAACAGTGGGCCAGTTGCACCATCTCGTTTCATGGGTGGGAATGTGTTATTTATAGATAGATAGATACAGATTAGACAGCTCAATCGTAAAGGATCTGCCTGCCAATGCAGGAGACATAAAGGATGCAGGTTCCGTCCCTGGGTCGGGAAAGTCCTCTGGAGGAGGAAATGGCAACCCATTCCAGAATTCTTGCCTGGGAAATCCCATGGACAGAGGAGCCTGGCAGGCTGCAGTCCATGGGGTCACAGACAGTCGGGCACGACGGAGCAACTGAGCACGCAGATATAGACTAAAATCTATTAGATTTTACTTCTAAAACTTAATCCCATAGTCTTTGCCTCTATTTTCTGTGAAAATGGAGAAAGTTGATTATGTCTTTGATGTTTCAAGTGAGTAATTAAGCTGCTTTTTGATACTTTAAACTGGGAGGCTCCACTCTTTCTAGACTTCCCCTTTCAGTTATAGCCTAGGGCACACTATATACAATTCTGTCTCCCTCTGAGGTTTCCTTGTCCTTTGACCAAGTTGCCTGAAAATTTGCCCCAAGACCTATTGTGCATATAGACAGGGCTGCGTATTTTTGGTATCTGAGGAGGAAGGTGAGTTCTTCCTAAGAAGCTCTTTACCTAAGAAGGAGGTGTCCCATTTCTATCCTGGAGGTCTGGGTCTGAGGAGGGTTTTGAATATGATTTTTAAATGGGGAAAAGAAGATGAGGTGAGGGGGATGGGGAGGTGATGGTGAGGAAAGGCACAGAAAGTTGTGAAGGAGCAGGCAGGAGAGTTTGAACAGGCAGAGAGTTTAGAACCTGGAACAGCACTTGACTTTTAGGGCAGGTGATGCTGGTAGAGGTGGGGTTAGAGAGTAGGAGTGGCTGATTAGGAGGAAGTGGGGCAGGTGCTAGCAAGCTCAAAAATGGAGTGGCTTTGTTGGTCAATGACGTACCTTGGGTTGAACAGAAATTGCAGCAGCTGTTGCCAGGAGGTATTAACATGTTTTAAAGAATGAGAAGAGGTAGCTGTAGTGGAAAAGGAGGGCTGACTGAG